TCGCTAGCCTGATCACCCCCAACGGCCCCCCCACCAGCCTTATCACCCACAATTTCCCTCCCCTCTTGGCCTCTAACTGCTTCTACCTCAGCCCCGCTGCCATAGCTTTGTCCAGAAGAATGTCCAGAAGGTCTCCTGGAAGGTCTCCCAGTGTAATTAGCATATTACCCTTTTATTAGTATAGATAGAGGCCTGGTGCACAGGTGGGGACAGGCGGGTTTGCCTTTAAGGGTGTCCTGGATCAGGATGGGGGCTCCCTTGAGGGGCGGTGCAGCCTGGGCAAGGGGCCTGTGATGGTTTGCAGGCCAGCCATGCCCACATTGGGGTGGGGGTCCCCCCTGGGGTTATTGGCCAACTTGGGTGAGGGGTGATGGCTGTTTTCAGGCTGGCCACACCCCCTTTAGGGTGGGGGTCCCTGCTGGGGGACCTGGCCAGCCTGGGTGAGGGGCTGAGGGCCATTTGCAGGACCCTCCCTTGGCAGCCGGCCTGGGCAACCAAAGCCTCCCGCCTGCTCAGGCCAGCTCCATGGCTGTCACCCACAGGCCCCTCCTTCAGCAGCCAGCTTAGGTGGGTGGAAAGCTTGGCTTCCTCTGTCGCTGGGGGTGACCTAAGCCTCCCACTGGCTCCAGCTGGCTCCGTGGCCACCACCATCTTTGTTCCACTAATTTACATATTCCCTCCTGATTGGCTGTGGTGCGTGGAGGTATAGTCAATTTACATATTTGTCTATTATTCATGTAGATTATTTAAGTAAAACTTTCTTCCTTGTTATCCGACCAAAGCCTCCCGCCTGCTCAGGCCTGCTACATGGCTGTCACCCACAGGCCCCTCCTTCAGCAGCCGGCTTAGGCGGGTGGGAAGCTTGGCTTCCTCTGTTGCTGGGGGTGACCTAAGCCTCCCGCCGGCTCTGGCTGGCTCCGTGACCACCACCATCTTTGTTCCGCTAATTTACATATTCCCTCCTGATTGGCTGTGGTGTGTGGAGGTATGGTCAATTTACATATTTGTCTATTATTCGTGTAGATTATTTAAGTAAAACTTTCTTCCTTGTTATCCTCATTAGTAAATGAGAGTGTTTAGAAAACTGACTTCCCAGTTCCTACCACTCCCTCTGCTTAGACATCACTGCCACACACAGCTCCAACATCACAGCAATTGTGGCTTGGAATGGAGGGAGAGAAGAGTCACTGTCAGTCTTCCTTCTCTCTAAACAACAGATTTTATAAGGCATACAATATGGCCATACCTGAGAGGTTGTGTGTACGTGGCTAAGAATATCCTTCTGGAATTAGAGGATTACACGTCATATGACACTGAACAAATTAGCTATCTCTCCAAGCCACAGATTCCCTATTTGTAAAATAAGAATAGAAATGATGTATACTTCGTAGAGTTGTTAGGACTAAATGTGATAATGCATGAACGGTATCTAGGGACAGTGTTTGGTACATGGAAAACATTAAGCGCCAGCAGGTGATAGTAGCAGCAGCAGCAATGCTGGGTGCCCTCAACTCCCCTTTTCCTTGCCAATAGCAGCAAGAAGAGGGTCTGTGAGGATTATGCCCACACCTTTGCTATTTTGAATCCTGCCTTTTATGGAATAGACTTAGCCAGTGAGCCAGAGATATTGATGGAATAAATGAATCTTGATTGTATAATTTTATCAGTTTGACACATGACATCAGTCTTTGAGAAATAGCTCTATATTTTGTGTTATAATAACATTTTAGGAAAACGTTCTTTTTACTGTATTCTTCTCAGAAAATGAAATTCCAAGACAGCTGGAAGTGGGTAAATTGGTCTTCCTCTCTTTTCTCCACAACCTGGGAAGAAAAAATAGTATCTTATGCAGCAAAAGGATATGAAATATTATAGCTTAGGTGATGGAAAGTCATGCATATAAAAAATAGCTAATGGTAACTCTGTTCTGCCTCTTGTAAATACAAACCTACTCCCTATGGTGGCCAGGTCTCTCTTCCTGGGCATTGAACATCATTGCTATATCTATGCAACATTTTGTTCCTAAAATTTGTATATGAATCTTACCTAAAGTGCAGAAGAAAGCACATCTATATATACATTTTTGAAATCACAAGCATTGCTTTTTGTTTATGTAAATGCTGCAGTAAGACTCTTGGAACAGGTTGGCTGAGGCCTGTCTGCCATCCCAACCCCTCCTCTCTCTGTCAACATCCAGACATCCGATGGCCTCCCCTTTCTGGTCCAGAGAGCTGAGTGCAACAGCAGAGGCAGAGGAATGGGTGCCTTGGGGTTATTTAGAAAACTGTTTGGACCGTAAGAAGTGCCGGCTCCAAGACAGCAATGCCAGCCCATTAGGAGTGGTAGACGCCCAGAGAAACATCCCAGGACCAATATCGGAGTCTGTTAGTACAAGGCATATGGGATAAACCAGAAATAGACATGGCAGCTCAAGAGGGGGGAATACAGGACAACCAGAGAATCTACAAATACATTTGGCGTTTGATGGAAATGTTACCTTTGTAGTTTTTTATGTTTCTCAAGAAGCCTGGTTTTTGGCTGCCAATTTTGGACCCTAAGAGGGGGAAACAGAAATAAATTAATTAATTAATTAATTAGTTAAT